TTTTGAATGAATAATGATTATAATTGTTTTAAGTGACATCATGTGCAGTACAAAACGATTTTTAATGGAATAGCACACCATTCTTCGAAATGCTCTCGGCAGACTAACCGCTAAGCTAGACAACCGACCATTACTACGAAGATGCTTGCATCTGTCGCCTTTGCTTGCGACCTGGGGAAAAAAATTAATGGAAGCCTAAATCAGTACGACCGTGAATACAGTCTGCTAACGCAGTCCAACTTTGGATTTTTGCGACGACTTTTGGGAAAAAGACAATTTGAAAAAATAGTCATTTGAAGACAGGATCATAGGATTTGACAAGCCAATGCCTAGCTCACTGAGCTACTGAACTAATGTGATTGTTATACTGAAATTACTGTGTTTATTCTACTGAGTGGTCGGTCGTCTGGCCTTGCAGATAGTGTGTCTGAAAGTGAAAAGGCTTGGATAATTCTACAAACACAACTTACAGGTACTTATTCACGGGCATCTATAATTAAAAATAAAAATATAAATTATATTTGCACCATCTAGGCACACGAATCTATACATTTCTTTGTCCTCTATCCAGACGATAACAAATTTGCTTACTTTTCCCGCCAAATTTCAATAATTACTCAATTTTGCATTGAAAAAAACTACTGCAAATGAAAATTGACGAAAAACATCTGGAAGCACTTAATGGTTTTCCCATTATTTCTCATACTGATAAATATTTATGAATCATCCCCTGATAATGATAATACAGGTAATTGCACTGAAAACGACCAGTGCTGTAAGTTCGGAATCATTCAAGATCAGATTTTGTAATTTGGTGGGTAGCAAGTATAAATTGCTCAATTAGTGACAAAACAATTTTTGTTTCATCACTTCCGGCTCATCCGGAAGCGACCCCAACTTTTTATTTTTCAATAGGACACCCTGTATATTTTTTCATATTTGGATTCAGGGGATCGTTTAACACACTAGAATATTTTAATTACCAAAATGTCAAAATATTGGGTGTCCTATTCAAAACTAAAAGTTGGGGTTCCGTCTGGTTGAACTGGAAGTGATATAATAAATATGTTTTGTCAATAAAAGGCAATTTGATATTTTCTTTATTTTATTTTAGCGGTACACCAATTCAACAGCTGAGGTCAATTACAGAATGGAAAAATAACAATTTTGGTCCAAAATCTGTGTGGATATTGTATCAAAAAACAAAATAGAGAGAAGGGAATATGCATATGAACATAAAATAAATGACACACTGCATAACGATGTGTATGAACTGAAAAAAACTATGGTGAGAAAAAAGTTCATACATAGCGCTACAAACAGTGTTGAAACAACAACAAAAAATATATAAAATATTATGGTAGAGTAGCCTTTTTGATTTCTATAGGTTTGCAGGAAAAAATATCTATTCTATTCTGAATTGACAAGTAATCATGGCATATTTTATACAGAGGCGATAAAAGAAGAACATTTGTTTGAGTGACTGGCAGGTAAAACGTAGTGAAACTGCGTACAGGTAGCCTAGGAAGGTGCAAATTAATAGGTGCAAGCAGGTATGAGCAGTCAATAGGCTAGACTAAAATCTTGTGTAAAAATAAAATTCCCAAATATGTACGACGTTCTTCTAGGGAGTTGACTTGATCTAGAAAGAAGTGTATCGTGCGGTACACCCCGCATCGGATAAGAGCCATCACATCTGAAACTGATGTACTTCAGAAATCGCCTCTGAATGTTCTCCAAACTCTCACATATACGTGATGTATCCAGAATTCCAGACAACGCAGCCATATTCAAACCTTGACCTCACAAGCGCATCAAAAAGGAGTAAGGTTTTAATCCTAGACAACCATTTGGAGTTAGATGCTGTTATTTTGACAGATTCAAATCCATGGTACTGAACTCTCATATGCCTCTCCATTAGATAGAACTCCAAAAATAAGATGAAGTTGTTGGTCAAGCCAAAAGAAGTGAGTTTATTGAGAAGTATACCATGGTCAAGCCTATGGAAAGCCTTAGAAAAATCCCTATAAATGACATCGACCTGGGAAGACTTATCCAATTCTTCAGCAATAAATTGTGCAATGCACGTCAAGTTACTTATTGTTGATCTTCCCTTAATGAAACCATGCTGATTATCAATAATCTGACATTTCACATGTGCATATATGCAGCCATATTCAAACCTTGACCTCACAAGCGCATCAAAAAGGAGTAAGGTTTTAATCCCAGACAACCATTTGGAGTTAGATGCTGTTATTTTGACAGATTCAAATCCATGGTACTGAACTCTCATATGCCTCTCCATTAGATAGAACCCCAAAAATAAGATGAAGTTGTTGGTCAAGCCAAAAGAAGTGAGTTTATTGAGAAGTATACCATGGTCAAGCCTATGGAAAGCCTTAGAAAAATCCCTATAAATGACATCGACCTGGGAAGACTTATCCAATTCTTCAGCAATAAATTGTGCAATGCACGTCAAGTTACTTATTGTTGATCTTCCCTTAATGAAACCATGCTGATTATCAATAATCTGACATTTCACATGTGCATATATGATATCCTATTAGACCATTTCAAATAATTTACTGAAGTTACATAGTATGACAATTGGTATGTAGTTTTCAATCAAATTTTTGTCACCTTTTTTGAAGATAGGACATATTTTACCATCTTTTCAAACATCGGGAGAACATATTGTTGTCAGTGATATATTAAAAATGACTGATAACGGCTTAGCAAAGATGATAGTGCAGTCTTTCAGGAGGAAATATGGAATGCCACCAGGACGTGGTCATTTTTGGTTTGCGTTTTTTCAGGGACTTCGGATATTTTAGGTAAAGGCAGAGTTGGTGTGTCAGGTTGATATTATGAGATCGCTGATAGTAATTGGAGTGCGCAATTGCAATATCTTTCTTTGCATCTCTGGAAATAGTTCTGAACATTTTTAGACATTCAATATCAACACTTGACTTATATTTACGAGAAAGAGTCTCCTTTTTCCTTAATTTAGTAATTATATCATATTATTGAGTGAGTTATAAAACTCATCACAATCTGCATCAACATCATTATAATTTTCCAGAAAATTCCAGTCAGTTTTCAAGAGCATATCATAAAGTTAAAGAAAATTTACGGTATTCCCTGTGAATCTATTAGGTTTCAAAGCATGAGTGAAAAAAAATTCAAGGGGAGGATGATGCATATCGATGGGGACAAGAGGAAATAATGATTCCTGTACATTTATCAGACATCTACTGCACACTAAGTCCAATATTCTATTATTGCAATTTAAGATTTCGTTGTATTGAGTTAATCCCAAAAAATTCATGAAATTTTTCTATGAACTTAGATTTTTAACATTAGGTGAACTGGTCCTAGATAGAGACATATATTCCTGAATATTGAAATCTCCAATTACGATCAGATTACTGTCATCATTGAGTAGGCATTGCAGACTGCAAATGGCTTCAAAAAGACCATCCTATGAATCGAAACATGTGTTTGGAGGTATATACAGTGTGACCCATTTAAGATGGAAGCACCCTTATAAAACTTACATTTTTCAACCGATTGGAATGATTTTTTTTTTGTTAGGTAGATATTCAAAAAGTCTATTAGGACACCAAATATCATGAATAAATCTCCATTTCCAGGGCCAACTAATCTGATTTTTCAAGCTCAAAAATCTAAAAAAATTACTAGCGATTTTTTTAGAAAAAATCTTACTACACCACTGGATTTGTGACATTTTCAAATGGGTAACATGTAAATTACGTTGAAATGCGTCAATCAATAAAAAAGTTATAAAGGAATGAAATTTGAAAAATATGCCGTTTAATCAACCCATCAATTTTTATTACTGAACAGATTTCGATGAAACTGTGATCAGTAATATTTCAAGACATCCTGAATCCAGTGGAGTATACATAATTTTCATAAAATTCCTGAACATGAATTGGTGGGTTGATTAAACGGCATATTTTTCAAATTTCATTCCTTTAAAACTTTTTTATTGATTGACGCATTTCAACGTAATTAACATGTTACCCATTTGAAAATGTCACAAATCCAGTGGTGTAGTCAGATTTTTTCTAAAAAAATCGCTAGTAATTTTTTTAGATTTTTGACCTTGAAAAATCAGATTAGTTGGCCCTGGAAATGGAGATTTATTCATGATATTTGGTGTGCTAATAGACTTTTTGAATATCTACCTAACAAAAAAAAAATCATTCCAATCGGTTGAAAAATGTAAGTTTTATAAGTGTGCTTCCATCTTAAATGGGTCACACTGTAGATTGTTTGATGTAAGTAGTAAAATTTTGAACAACTAATTGTTCCAACAATATCAATAGTGGAAAAAGATTCAGTGATGGAATGAAGGTCCAATGGATACGCTAGGAAACGTGAGTTCATGGCAATTAGAACCCCGCCCCCTCTTGTGGCAGTTGTGAGGTCAAGGTTTCGGTCATTTCTATATTTGCTCTCCACCATATTTCAAAATCCGACCTTGAATGATTCAGTAGTTTCAGCACTGACCGTTTTTTGGGCACTTCCTTGTACATCAAATTGTGCAAATATTAGGTTTTAAATTATATTAGGTTCTTTCTTCTGCTTTTCAGTGTCCTGTTAAATGCATTACACTATGAATCAGCTGTTTTTTTGTGCAGCTACACCAACGAATTTCAAATGGAGCAAGAAAATTGAATTGAAGAGAAAAAGCACAATTTGAATTGTATATCTAATATAAATATAATCACAAAAATGTATTTCCAGTCATTCACACTTGCTTAAGACCAGGTGGAGATAAACTACAAAGGTGTGAAATGCACTTTTTAAAAGAATGCTCAGAGTGTGGTGTAAATTACAGGAAGTTCATGAATGTGCTACAATTGTCATACAAAAGAAAGGGCCTATTCAGTTTCTGTATTGATCAATTTTGAATACAGGCAATTAATAGTAGTAGGCATATTGAAAATTATTGAATGTTTCATGATACTTACTGATTGGTTTCCCATTTTCCCATTTGGTGATTTTGATGTGGGTGTCAGCACGTTTTATGGCATCTGCTCGAAGATCAGGTTTGAGTGCCTGTCTCAACAGTTTGGCTGCAATGTTAGAGTAGTTGATGTAGCTGTGACAAATAAGAAATATTGAACAATTATTACTTCATTGTCTGTAGATTAATCAAGAAAAAGGAATATTCAGTTCTATCACTCAATCCAAATCAAAATATGAGTTACACAATGATCTTACAATATATATCCACTAGACCCTTCCTAGATTTACCAAGTTAAACTTTAGCTCATAGGAACTAAATGTGTTGCCTAGCAACATACCTATGTTTGTGTCAGTAATAGAAACGTCAAATCAAGAGCTAATTTTGGTATTACATTAAAATGGATGACTTTTGTGTGGGTTGCAGAGAAAATAATTTTATTCATCAAATAGTTCAGCTTTTTACCTTCACTGCTACATAGTAGTTTAATATTATAGTTTACATACAATGCATGAAGTATGTACTTCCCGCATTGTTTTACTTAGCACACTGCTTTGCACATGGTGTCCTGGTAATGTAGGAACTTGGAAAAAAATGTGCAATTTGTCATGGATGTGCAAACCGTCATTTTTTGACGTTTGTAGAAAAAAATATAGCTAGGGAGTGGTGTATACAACACATGGACATCTGATGAATATTCAGTGGATATCCATTCAGAATATTCTGGATGTCCAAATATCATCCCAAGGATATCTCATAGACGTCCAGTGGATATCCTCAGGCCACCAACCTAGACGCACATACGATATCCTTTATGGACATCCATAAGATGTATTTCATGGAAATCTTATAAATTTCTAGGTTGGTGGCCGAAGACAAGTACTTTTCGTCCACAGACGCAAAATTTTCGTACGCAAACTTTTCGTATGCAATCTTTTCATAGGCAGGCAAACTTTTCGTATTCAATATTTTCATAGGCAAACTTTTCGTATGCAATCTTTTCATAGGCAAACTTTTCGTCCGCAAAACCTGTTCGTCCGCTGCAGGGTCGCCAGTTTTACTGTATTTTCAGTAGATCTCCAGATTTGCATATTGATCTACTGATCTACTGAAACATTTCGTAACCTACTGGAAAATGTTTTGACACTTATTTATCATTATAATCACCTATATTATCAGTAATCTTTAGTCAATCACATACACTTATAAATTGCATGATATTTCCACATGTTCTGTTTGAATTAATTTTACAAAATAAGTAATAAATTTACATATAGGTACTAATGATATGTATAAACCAAAAAAGGAAAATCCTTCATCTGATTCAGATCAAATTCAATTTTTAATATACCTCTGTTAAAACAATTTGTTTCTTATGTTTCATTTTTTTATTTGTTTTGTATTTTTGTTGATTTTCACTATTCCTTCCTTTTTTTTATACTCAAATCACAACAACTGTCATTTGCTGTTGTCAAATTAATCATTCCTGTGAATAGGACTGTGATGTGGAAATGAGTCTTTGAGGTCAACGAAAAAATTCAATATGCACCTCAGGGAAAAACTGTCTATTGCTTCATCTGATTCCTAGCCTGAGCTATCAATCTGTGGACTGTGCTATAATAGACAGTTTTTCGTCCTTGAATCTTCAAAACGGATGCCGTTATGTGCATTTTTTACTCAGCAAACCCAATTTATTTTGCATTGTTCTACCTATCCTATTTTCAGAAAAGAAAAAAGATATGGATCATTATAAACAATTGATCAACTTCAGTTTCATCAATTTTTGGTTGACCTAGAGATCTTCCAGTAGAAATTACCATGATGAAACTTTGTCTCTCAGTATTCTATGTGTTCCTTCATTAAATGACTACTTCATGGACTTTATCAACTCTAGATTTTGATACAGTGAATTGTAAAAACAAAAATTAAAATTTTCATTGAATAACTAACACCCTTTATGAGGTATTGCATTGAAATATTTTAAGGTGCATTTCAGTTAAGCCTGTTTGAAACAGATTTTCCACTTTTTCCAAAAAAATTGCTCAACTAAGTTGTTTTTAAAATTTTGACCCCTCCATCAAACTGAAGTAGGCTTTGATAATTTTAATATTTAAGATAACTCATTGAGTATTAGGAACTTCATTTTTGGAGTAAAGTAATCTCTTCTGAAACAAAACAGGTCAATTTTCAATTTCAATTTAGCACATTTATAAGGAAAAATATACAGGTTGATCCCTGTTTGAGTATATAAGTACCTCATATATTATTCAATTTTTGGAGTCTACATGTAGGGCCCAATTCAAAAATATATCACACATAGGGTTTGTATATTAAGTATACAAGGTGTCTGATTCCATATTCCAAATTTCCAAAGCATATAGAACTATTAGGAATAAACTCTACGAATCGGAATATTCATTACATCACAGGTTGCAGTAGCTGGATTAAGGGGAGATAGGCATTTTGTACAAGAAGAAAAATATATACCTACCTGCATGGAAGAGAAAGCTCCAATAATCAAAAAAAGTTCAAAAAACTTACTTCAATCCTGCTTGCCTCCAAGCTGTCATATTGGGAAAATGTTCTAGTTACTCTAGTTACGCCGAAAATGATTTCTGCGGAAGTTATTTCAGTAAATTATTTAATTAATTGAACAGATACAGACAGCCAAAAAATTAGATTATTATATAAAGATCATGGAATGGATTACATAATTATATAATGACCAATGACGTGATGAATGAGAATGACATCCATGATCCATGACATCAATGACATCTCAGAAGTGCCTAAATCTTTCGAACCATTCCCATCACGTGATATATTAAGATTCGTGCACGAGATTCGTGGCTCTTTCATTATTATTATTATTCCCAATAAAATTATGCAGGCTGAGTTTTATCAGGTAGTTTTATTCAGATCCATAATGACGGAACTACATAACTGTTTCACAAACACTAGGAGAGGAGACGAGGATCTGTCCGTACCCTGTTAATAAGATGACGTCAATTTCCATCAAGGAACCCTACCTTGTGCCAGTTCGATGTTTATTCAATCAGTAAGATCTATTGAATGCTATACAAATTCCAAGAAAGGATAATCAAATAGATCTATATGCCATTTAATATTCATCGTTAATATCTTTCCGTATATAAGCAAAAGGCTCGCATGTGTTTTTACTCCTGAATAAAAAGATTTTGTAGAATGATGGATGGTGCGCGTATTCGGCCTGGGATTTTAATCTTCATTTTCCCACGCAGTCATTCTGTCAAAAATGATATGTTTCTGACGCCAAGTGTGATATATCAATATAATAGTTCTGCCAGAACGACTCGGCAGATATTTTTCTACCATAGTCGGTTGTATAAACAAATAATCTGATAATAATCAGTCACACAATTGAATGAACAATTCTTATAACCTTCAATACTACTACCAAATAATCAAACTTGATTGTAGTGATAAACCTTTTTAGGAAATGAAGGCTTTATTCATCATAAAACTTATGTGAAAGTATCACAAATAATAAGACGTCAACATATAAGGTGATTATCGAATATCACCACATTCTTCCTCCCATCAATAATTCATCTCATAGTCCTTCAATCTTTCTGGCAGACGACGATTTCTAGATGAACGAGGGTGAGAACTGTCTTGAGAAGTGGATGAAGAATCAGTTGTTGAGTGGGAGGCACGGCGAGAGGGAGTATAGATTCATCAAGAACAAGATTCTCTCCAGTGGTAGGAGGATCTGGATATCCTTGATCAATAAGTGGATCTTCAGGATAGTCTGCGGTGGCAGGTCGCTCTTGATTTTCTTGATCAGCAAGTTGATTTCCAGATTCTTGATTATCCGATTGGTGTTGGTATGAGGTTAGGTCATTTTCATCAAGCATTGGAGGAAGTTCCGGTTGCATTTCTACTTGGCCGTTCGGAGCCAAGTGTTTAAGGGACACGGTTGTCTGCCTTCCATCTTCTAGCCTGACTTGGGCGTATTGCGGATTCACTTCTATAAGTTCCACTTCTTCTACCAGTGGGTCAAATTTACTTGATCGCACATGTTTCTTCATAAGTACTTTAGAAGAAGGAACTAACCAGGAAGGTAGAGAGCAGCCATTGGTAGATCTTCGATTATGCATGAACATCCTTTCATGGGGTGTTTCGTTAGTTGCTGTACAAAGGAGAGATCTGATGGAATGAAGCGCATCTGGGAGAACCATTTCCCAATTGGATACTTCCAAGTTCCTTTGTTTCAGGGCGAGAGACACCGTGCGCCAAATAGTGCCATTCTCGCGCTCTATCTGTCCATTTCCGGGGGGATTGTATGGAGTTGATTGAGAGGTCGTCACACCGCGTGTGTGAAGAAAGTTTTGAATTTCTTCGGAGATGAATGATGCGCCTCTATCCGTGTGAACATAGGAAGGGACGCAGTTGATGAAGTCATGTCTGAACAAGGGTACGCATATGGAAATCTTGAGTACTCATCAATGATTGTGAGAAGATACTTGTTACGAGACTTAGATGGAAGTGGGCCTTTAAAATCCATGCTGAGTCGCTCGAAAGGATGAGTAGCTATGATGAGAAGTGAATTATTGTTTTTATAGAATTTTGTTTTTACTGTGTTACACGCAGGGCAAGATGCAGTAACTTTACGCACTTCTAGGCATCTGCGACTTGATTCTGTTTCCCTGGTCTATAAAGAATATCATAATTGTAGCAGGAAAGTTCTAAGCGCCATCGTTGAATTTTTTCATTTTTTATCTTGTTCTCATGGTTCATGTCAAACATAAACGATACAGAGCGCTGGTCGGTTATTATTTGAAAATGACGACCAATCAAATAATGTCTCCATTTCTTCAGAGCATCTACTATAGCGTACGCTTCTTTTTCCACGGCAGAATGTTTTCGTTCACTATCGTTTAGCTTTTGTGAAAAGAATGCGACTGGACGGCCTAATTGGGAGAGAACAGCAGAAATCGAGAAATCAGAGGCATCTGTTTCGACTACGAAGGGTTCTTTGTCGTCAATTGTTTGAACTACTGACTTTGATATCTCGATTTTTAAATTTTCAAAATCAGATTTCACCTCTGAAGATATGGGAAAAGTTTTTGTGTTCAAAAGTTTTCTGACCTTGTCCGAATAATTAGGTACCCATCTAGAATAATGTGCGAATAATCCAATCGTACGCTCGAGTTCCTTAGGAGTATTAGGTGGAGGTAGACTCAGCAACGGTTTCAAACGATCGGGATCAGGTGAAATGGTGTTGTTCTCTATTTTATATCCAAGTGAATTGATTGATGATTGACTGTAACTGCTTTTATCCTGATTTATTGTGAAACCATATTTATTCACTGCTTCCATAAATCGATGGAGGTTTCGGTCGTGTTCATCTTTATCTTTTCCGCAAACGGTCACATCATCGAGATACGCGTATGTTTTCTCTAATTTTCCCTTTGAAATGACGTCATCGATTGCACGCTGGAATGTGGGGACGCCATCTGTGAGGCCAAACGCAAGACGACAAAATTGGTAAAGGCGACCGCAGGCTTCGAAAGCAGTGAAAGGCCGGTCCTTTCCTCTCAATGGGATTTGATGATAGGCACTTTTGAAGTCTATTGTGCTGAAATAGGAGTTTTTAGATACCTTCGAAACTACACACTCGAGATCAGGTAAAGGATAAGCATCCAGCGAGGTGTAACGGTTAATGGTTTGAGAATAATCAATAACCATCCTAGATCTATGCCATCCTTTTCTTGTGATTATCATTTTTTATAACAAATGCTTGTGCCCTCCATGGAGACCTGCTTTCTTCAATTATCCCGTCCATGAGGAGTTTATCAATTTCTTTCTTCATGAACATGTAATCTTCATTTGAATATTTTCGAGATTTTGTGATAATCGGTGTAACATTCCTTGTGAGGTGTTCAAAAAGTGGGGGATGTTCGATTTTGGCAGGGGCAAGGTAGCAAACCGTTAAAGATGGCTTGGAACCACCAAATACAAATTTCAATTCGGAATGTTGTTTCAGCAAATCGTGACCCACTATTACATTGGTACATAAATCAGGCAGCACATTAAGTTTTGCATTATCATAATGATGACCCAGTAAAATGAGTTTAGCCAGACAATTGTTCGAAATTTTTGAATTGAGGGATGTTGAGGCCATAGAGACAGAACCTGAAGTTGGATACATCTTGAAACGACAGCTTTCTGCAAAATGCTCGGATATGAATGTTTCAGAACTCCCAGTGTCGATAAGAGCATATGTAGGTACATTGTTCACTTGAATGGCAACGGTAGCCTTATCTAGAGCTGGTGACGAAGCAGCTATTAGAGCCGCGGCCTTGGTTGTCTTGCTAATGGTTTACTTGGGGGACCTGCATACGATCGCCCAATGTCCCATCTTCTTGCAGTTGTCGCATTCCGCATTCATCGCGGGACATTGCTGACGTGATTGACGGCGAGGATGACCGCAAAAGTAGCATTTCTGATTAGAACGGACAGCAGCTAGATCAGCACAATCCTGTAGAGCGTCACCTACTTTGTCTTGAGCCGAAGAACTTGCGTTTAGGTTTGCCTCACTTAATGAGTAGGATGTGGAATGAGTTTTGGCTGATTCTAAAGCACGAGCCTTCTCAACTGCTTCCTCAAGCGATAATGTGCTGAATTCTAGAAGCCTCAGACGAATCTGATGCGAGTTGATGCCACGAATGAATGCGTCACGGACATAGGATTTTCGATGAGTCCACAGCTGCGAAGTCACAGCTTTTGCTCAGTAGTTCTAGAGCCTGATGGTACTGATCAATCGACTCTTCGGATTGCTGTTTCGTAGTGGCTAGTTTATGCCTTGCAAAAATTTCATTCGTTGGTTTTACATATATAGACTTTAGAATGCCCATTGCTTCATCGTAAGTGATATGTTCATATATCATACTCTCTGCGAGGGATAACGAAGACCCAGTAGATGATAAGTTGAGAAATTTTGCAGTTTGCTATGCATATCAGAAGTTAGCGACGGACAAGAGACGACGATAGTGATCAACAATTTTGATTGACTTTTGCCGTCATTAAATAAAAAAAAACTGTCACTATTCTTGATTTCATTTTTCATGTTATACAGTCCATTATTTTCATTATATGTTTAAATACATACGAGGTTTCATTACATCAAATAGAAAAATTGGGATACACCCTAACATTGGTCCTTCGAGCCGGATCTGGAATAATCATTGAATAGTGATTTCGGCGGCTGCAGGGATAATCAAATCAGGCGAACATCATTCCTAATAAATTACGGAGTGTTACATCGACGAAAATCAGATTCTCAAAGGGCACAAGGAAAATCGTATAGGAGGACTTGGATAGGAAGGTTCAAACGACAAGACTACGGCAGGGTACCATCGCTGTAGACAAACTAGGAGGTGGAGAAATACATTTTCAACAACTGCAGTGCAGAAATACACAGGATTGGGGCTTGGACACAACACAGGGTGCTGCATTGAACATTGGTGGTGATCGGAACATAAAATAAACAAGGAAAATAAGGTCAGGCATTGGACATTTGGTAGGCAAAAAGGGCTGTTACAGGGTGAGTGCAT